TGGCAATGGTGCGGTCGAGTTCGATGAATTAACAAATGCCATTTTGCCTCATATGAATGAGCAGATAATGGTAAATCAAGAGCAGCTCAAGGAGCTTTTCACCTTGTTCGATCGTGACGGCAACGGCTACATCACCCCGGCCGAGCTTGCAGGTTGCATGTCCAAAATGGGGCAACCGTTGTCGTATAAAGAGCTAGCGGAGATGATCAGAGAGGCTGATGCCGATGGAGATGGTGTCATTAACTTCAATGAATTTTCTACTATAATGGCTAAGTCGGCCTTTGATTTTCTCGGCATCCGTTTATCTTCGTAAGCAAAGGTTATGGTTTTATGTTAGGTCATGGTTTAATTGCTAATTTATTTGTTTCAAGAATTTAAATCTGGGTCATATATTATAATACTGATTTCATTTAAATATTTTCATATTATTATGTATTTTTTATTTCAACAAAACACGTGTTATTATTTTGTTGATGTTATCGACAATATCAAATACATTATGTAATAGAAATGTACAAAAGGGCTCAAATGGAATGATACACATAGTTTTGTGGTTGAAATAAAATATTTTAAAGTTTAAATATCAATTTAAAATGAGGGTTATAATTCAATGACTTTATACAATTAACCTTAATATTTTGTTTTTAACTTAAATGTAACCACATTTGTAAAGACAAAAAATAAATGAATATGAATTAGGTAATTATTTATAATTGAACATATAATGATAAATTTAACTTTTTAGTGTTTTTATATTTGATTAATTTATTATTATTATTATTATTATAAATTAAATTTAATCATTAGTCTTTTAAAAATAGCCAAAGTGTTATTTTTTTACAAATTTTAAATAAAATAGTAAATTTAACTACGTTGATGCGATACATGTTCAATATACATTAATTTATGATAATATTTATCTTATATGTGAGGTAAATAAATAGTTTAAAAAGTATAAAATAATTAAAATATAAAATACATAAAAAATTCAAAATTATTAATAAAAAATAATTAGACTGTCATGTGAGCTGCTATATCAGTGTTATTAGAAATTTAATAATTCTAATTGCATAGCTTGAATTTTATTATGATTTTTTACATATTAAATTAATTATTTTATTATATTTTTATACATATTACATATATGATTAAATACGTCTTTGATTCCTGGATGCTATGCCAATGCCATGTTGGAGAGGCACTAGCTGCTCCAATGGCATCTTTGCATAGACTTGTAGGATATGATGGGTCCTACCAGAAAAATTAGAGTAATTTATCCCATTGGTCATTAAATTATAAGATCGGTTTTATTTTAAATATGAAATAAACTTTTGTGTCGATTAAATCACTAAATTTTCAATTTAATTTCAGTCAAACCACTCATTGTTAACTATTGATATGATAGCTAACATGAATGATAAACATTTTTTTTTACGATAATACATCTTATCTTCATTATTTACACATTCTATTAATTTGATGGTGTAGACATACTTTCAATTATCATGTATAAACTTTGACTTAGAGATGATAATGGGTCGATGGGATTTTTAATTGATTTGAACCGTATTCAAGTAATATATTCCTCACCCGACACCTGATACGATCTATGTTTAGGAAAGTTTCATCCGACTCAAAATTTGATATGAATATAGGATAAAAATATATACTCAACCTGACTCAAATATAAAATATTCTCATTTTTATTCGGTAAAATAATGACATAATTTAAAAAATATAAAGAAAGAGGGTTATTATAGTAAATATATAGAAGAAATTTATAGTATTATCTCATGTGGAGTTGAATATTTTCACCCTAAATCAAAATTTAACCCGATTTGACTTCATCTCTAACAAAATCCTACTAGACCTGAACTTGATTTTTTTTGTTAAAAAAACTTATAAGATCAAGTCACCCTTGAAGTTCACGTCAAATTATCATCTCTACTTACACCATCAGGTCCCACGGAAAAATTCGAGCTTATTTCCCCTTCCTTTACTCGTGAAGTCAAGGGAACTACTCGAAAAAACGAATCCATTCTCCTTAAGTTTCCTTCTTAGCGGTTTATAGGAACTGACAGTGAGCGAGAAATATGTTGTATGCTTCTCTTTCTCTGCAAAGGAACTAACAATTTTAAATAACAAACATTCAAATCCTTGCATCGAAGAGGACTTGGAAACATATTTCAGATCATTACCTTGGATATTAGGAGGAGACGGGATCCACAAAATGATTATAGTCTTGACGTGTATGCGAGCAAGTTGCTATCACATGAGAGCATAGATACTTCAGAGCTTGAAAAATGTTTATGAGATTTTTATTATATTTTATTATATGATATTTCATTCATAGAACATTAATGTTTTGGGCATGAATTACTCAAATCTGATTTGATAAGAATTTTTTTATATTCAATTATATAGATGTTTTATAAGAAAAATTGGTTGTGACCAAAATTTATGTTTTGAAAGTTCAGTTGCTAAAGTATAAAAGTGGGAAACGTTCAAGGACTTAAGTGGTAATTTTTCCAAAATAATTTTTATTACATAAATGGACAAAACTCAATGGGAATACAAGTGAGATGTTGGTGTGTTTCATAACCAAAACTTGATCAAATTCACAAAATATGCTAGTGTCGAACTGATTTTGAGTGAGTTCCATGAAAAATCAACATTAAGAGAAGAAAGAGGAGTTAAAAACGAACATACTGAATTATTTGGTGGAAATGAGTTTGAAGTATGCTATGGAATTATTTTGGGATATGTTTATGTTAGTACAATACTAACATATGTATTGTTATAAATTTGTGATTTATACAGATCATGGTTGATTTGCAGTTTCAAGTTTTACTTCCCCTGACGTTGGGAGTAGACTATCAAACACCAACGAGTTATGACAGCATGGCTTCTTTTCAACCTTCTGAACTTCTACAATGGCCATTATTTCCTTGGCGTTTCCAAACAACTTGTTGATACGAACAATGATTCTTTTTCTTTTGTTAAACATTCAAGCTTAACTTTCAATTCAATATTTCTTTTTTTTTCAAATCTTCAATTTTGGATTTTGAAAGCTCAAAATCATTTTTCAAAACACACACAAACTTTAACTTATATACAAATATTTTTTATTATTCAATTTTAGGAGATTGATATTTTTTTTATTAATCTAGTTGAATATAAGATGGTCCGTCGATCGGCTCGGGGCGTGGACCGACGCGGATCGTGGTGGCGGCCCAAGCCCGGGCCTTTGATACGCCCGCAGAGACGTCGTTGCCTCGATCGTGGAACCCAGCACGCGCCGTCTCGGCGTGCTCCTCCTCATATGACAAATTAGGTCTCAACTCTACCTCTTCAATCTGAATGATGTGACCTGGATCTGGACGATTTAAAAATTGATTTTGTATTATAGTTATATAATTAGATTATTATTTTAATAAGAATTATATATATTTGTTTTAAATTCAATAAATAATTAAAAAAATTAAAAAAAAGCTTAAACGTATTGATTTCCTTGTCTATATAAAGTCAATTATCTAGGGTTCTTAATCAACCACTGAATCTGCTATCAAAACACCATTGTCTTCTTAATTCTCTTGTTTCATTACAACCATATCACCACTCACATGCCCATTGCGTAAGAGTAGTAGTATCCACGTCCACCGGTCCACAACACACACGACCAATGATTGGCTGAGGAGTGGAGGAAACAATGAATGAGAAATTTTGCACTAACGATATTTTTACAGCCAAAGAGAAAAAATAATTTGGCCCAGGCGAAGTTTTTCAGAATGATGTAAGCAAAATTATTTGCCCATGCAAAATTGTTTCGACTGAAGCAATGATCATGCCTATTGGAGTATTAAGAGACACCACTTTTGGGAAATCAAGGGACCTAATTGTTCAAAGCAAAATTAAATGGGCATATCTCACTCAAGAGACTATTGAAGGAACACCAATTTCTGACGAAACAACAATTATGGAATAGAGGAACGTTGAACAGTTTAGAAGGGTTCAAAATGCTTAAACAAAGTATTTTTGGGTGTCAGTAACGGTATTGTATGTGTCAGTATCGATATTGTTCTTATACAAGGCAAAAATACATGAGCTAGATCGGTTAGGAATCGATTCTCCTCAATAAATTCTTGTTCCTGGAATCCGATCAAATTGCTCGAGTTTCACGTTATCCTAATTGATAACGATAAATGCCTATGAAAAATATACGTGGATACTCTAGTTTGTTCCAAATGAATTACATGACGGTTTTATATGTTTTGAAATGAGTTTAGTACAAGTATTGAGTTACTGGTTTATGAACCATAGCATGTAGTTGAACTTAGCTGGAGGAGAGCTTTGGACCAAATTAATGACAAGTGGACTAAAGGTAGCTCGAAGTAGATGGGAGAGTAGCTGAGGAGCTAAGAATACCGAAGCTAACTAGCTTGAGTTCATCAAGATATACCTCACCTAGTTAGCTATCAGGCGTTGAACGACCTTTGACTTTGACCGGGTATACCTATTCTGAAGTTTTTTGGGGTCCTGAATCCGTTTTTTGGGTCCGTTTCATCAAATTCGAACCCGGTAAGAGTGATTCTTGCCCTTGCTGCTATGAACCAATAGCCTTTGTTTTAAATGGATGTTTATAATGCATGCCTTTTTGTAGGGTGACTTGTTTGAAGAAGTATATTCGGTTCGGGTCTAAACTGGGCGACTCTTGGGTTTGTGATCTGCTAGACCAGGTGTTTATTGGGCCATTGGTTGATTTGAACTTCAACAGGGCCTGAATAAAATTGACAGAATACATCAAGAATAAATACCAAATGTGTTATTCTAAAAATTTGCTTAACTGCCATATCAATAATTTCATTAAGAATTAACGGTCGGTAATTTGATTGAAATTAAATTGAAATTTTATTGATCTAATTGATAAAAGTTTTTGTTTACTAAGCAATATAGAATCAACCCAATAATTTAGTGAGTATAAAGTTAGTTTACCCGAAGAATTATTACAGTTGGCCACACTGGTCCCTTCAATCTTCAACCTCTTATTCCTCATCACCCAATCCTCACTCTTCATTGATCGGGCCTTTTTTTAATTGCATGTCCGCCTCAATTTTCACAGTGAAACAACCACCAAAACCCAACTCTCCAATGGCGGTGCAGATGGCTATCCGAGTTTCAGCCACTGCAAGGCTTTCTCTTCCTCCACCTTCTTCTCCTTCAGTAACATCTTCTTCTTCAACCTCAAACAAAGCTTCTTTAAGAACCCAATCTAAACCCATATCAACTTCCCTCTCTTTATTGGCTCTACTTTTTCTTCCCCATGAGGCCAAAGCTATCAGTCTTAGCAAAGAACAGATTGTTTCATCTCTCACTGAGGTGAGTAAATCAAGTGGATTACATGATTTCCTCACAACTATGTTGATACCTTTTTTTTTCTTTGAATTACAGGTGGAGAAAACCATTGATCAAGTTCAAGAAGCGGGTTCAAGTGCCTTGGATGTTGCACAGCAGGTGTTTGATGTTGTGGGGAAAGCTCTGAAGCCAGCCATAGATGCAGGGGTTCCTATTGCCAAGAAAGCTGGAGAAGAGGCTTTGAAGGTCGCTTCTCCAGTAATATCCGAGGCATCAAAGAAAGCCCAAGAAGCAATTCAAGGAACTGGTCTTGATTCTGAGCCTGTTCTCACTGCTGCTAAGGTTCATTTCTAACTGTTCTTTCAATTTCTCAAAGCTGCAATGCATGTGTTTTGAGTATTGTTGATGGGACCAAATGGGTTGAAATATTGTTGGCGGTATACCTTTTCTAGTTCTGGTTTAAATAGAGAGTTGTAGCCAGTGAGGAAATGACCGTTGGTCATTGATATTCTTCGACGAGGAAGTAGAGAAGTAAGTGAAGGTAAGGTGGTTGGTTTCCTTTAGGATGCATCTTGTCTCTGGATCATACGAGAGATTTTGTAGTGGCCCTTATTGTGTGTCAGCTGTAGCTACTTATAGCGTGTATAGGTCGCGTCAATTAGTAGGGACTTTTTGTAGGATGTTATATATTTGAGGTTCTTCTTCTGGAGGTGTTCTCTCTCTGTCTTCCTGAGTTCCCGTGATATCGGAGAGTTAGAGATGCTTTAGGGACCTCCGATGGTTGTCAGGTGCAACAGCGTTATTACAAGTATATTTAAAGAGTTGCATGTAAAGCTTGATGTATATAACAGTCACTGTCAACTAATTGAATGTCTGAAAGGCTTTAGCTATTTTTACTTGAAGTATCTGTGTTCGATGCAAATTGACGTCTGTAAACCTCATGCAATGATGTTTTTTGTTGCAGACGGCTGCGAAACAGACTACAGAGGTTATCGATGTAGCCAAGCCCCTAGCTTCTTCAACATTCGAAACCATAACATCCGCAGAGCCATTAACAATTGTAGGATCCGCCAGTGCATTATTCGTTGCATACCTCCTCCTTCCTCCCATCTGGTCATTCATCTCCTATAGCCTTCGTGGTTACAAAGGTGGTCATTGCACTTAACTGACTCCTCCTATGAAGTATAGCTTATAGAGCTTCATAGTATGAACCGTGTTCGACGTTCATCCCCATTGCATGCCTGAAAATGTGTACAACAATATGATCGTCTAAGAATCTTTCAAACAGATGGAAAACTTTGAAAAATGAACACATCCGTATCTGATGTTCAGTGTTCACCCTAGTAGCATAGATTTGAAAAATGACACACAAAAAGGTTATGGGGTTGTCTATAGCCTTCGTGGTTACAAAGATGGCCATTGTTGTTTTCTGATATGAAGTAGCTTCTTGCTTCATAACATGAAACATAGCTAGGACTTCTAATTTTTCTTGAAATACCGATATCCGAAATTCACGTCTAATGCATAACCGTAAATGTTTACAAGAATATGATCCTCCAAGGTTCCTTCAAATACATGGGAAAAGAAACTTAGTAAATTGAGTATTCTGGTGCATAAATTTCTTCAAATTTTAACTACTTTGTTGCTTCTTTAGGTGATCTTACACCAGCTCAAGCCCTTGATTTAATCTCCACGCAAAATTATGTTATGGTTGATATTCGATCAGAGAAGGATAAGGATAGAGATGGTGTCCCTCGCCTTCCCTCGAGTGCTAAGAAGAGGATGATTGCTATTCCGTAAGTAAATATTAGGCTTTCAATGATTGTATTTGGTTTATATCCGAGTCTGATGCATATTCGAACATAATTAAGGGGTACAAGCATTTGTTTATGGCAGACACTGCCTAATACTCTGTTAATCGGGATCGGGTATGAGAGTTTGATATGTATATATATCCGATATGGATATGCTAATTTCTTTTAAAGCTTTTCATCTTGATAGCCATGTCTTGATTTTCCTCTTTGTTTACGAGAAAAATCATCATCGAAATGCTGTTCAGATTCTTGGAATCATCTGTCAATGATTTCTGTGTTTCAGTTTGGAAGAGTTGCCAAGCAAGTTAAGAAGCTTAGTGAGAAACACAAAGAAAGTCGAAGCTGAAATTGTAGCATTGAAGATTTCATATCTCAAGAAAATCAGCAAAGGTTCAAACATTGTGATCATGGATTCGTAAGTTATTTTTCCATCCCTATCTCATCCTCCATTCTAATTAAATCTGTCAATTCTGACCTCAACTTAAAACTGTGATGGATTTGAACCAAAACTTGAGTCGAACTCGATGCTGAAACCACTGACATTTTTTCTTTTTTTGAACCTGGAATGCTCAGCTACTGTGATTCAGCAAAAACAGTGGCGAGAACATTAACGAGTCTCGGTTTCAACAACTGTTTTGTGGTGGCCGACGGGTTCTCGGGAAGCAAAGGGTGGTTACAGAGTCGACTGGGAACTGATACGTACAACTTTTCGGCAGTGGAGCTTTTGTCTCCATCGACGGTTTTTCCAACGGCCGCTAAGCGTTTCGGTACGACCAGCACCAAGTTCCTCCCTGGTGCAGAGTAGCTTTTTTTTTTTCCCCTTTTGTTTTCTTTTTCTGGTCCGAATCGTGGAAGTCACATGAATCATGTAATTCTTTCATTAATGTTACTAGATCCTCTTTCTTCTCATCTTTACTAAACATGGCTAGAATCCAACTTTTGCATGAGCTCCAGCAACCCGGGTCCGAGGTCGTCGAACCAGATTTTGATACTTCCCAGAATGGCACATGATCGTATTCCATTTTTATAAATCACGCAATGTCATTGAGGCGACACTTTCTACTCTTTAATCGAGTTATGGTTTTACATCTATAAACGCATGAGTTACATATATTAACCATCAGTTTGTTACATCAATATGTGTTGATTCTTGGTATATCAAAGCATACAAATTATATATAAATAATTTTACATTTACTTAATTAAGATAAATATATAAAGTTCACAAGTGAAATTAGTTTATAAACAAAATTAAGATTAGTTCATCTTAAGTCTAATATATATAAATATATTTACTTATTTAGATTACCAACCAACGTAAATCGTATTCAATATTATAAATAGTTTTTAATATAACTTATAATGAATTAAATAGTTAGATAACCAATAAATTGATATTTGTTTTTAACATTGTTTTGCATGAAATTAAAACTAATTATAAATTAAATAAAAATAGAATTTATTGGTAAAAATATACACATACTTTTATTTTCCTAATTTAAACTGTTGGTAAAGACTGTTGTGACGGAGTTGGTTATGCAACACCATCGGGTGCCGGGTTTTTCCGTCGCCTGACGCAGCAACTGAAGTTGAAGACGATGAAGATAATTACGAGGATGCCTAGGTTAACGAATGCCAAAAACCTCCATTGTTTCCGAAGGTCGTCTAAAAATCCGCCCTTGCATGACTTGCAATCGAAGCAAAGCTTGTTCTTGTCGTTGCTCCAAGTGAGGCAGTCGCTATCGGGGACGTCGGGTCCCGACTTCGGCATCTCCCAAAACGTCGAGTTTTTGTATTCGAATTTGCAGTAAATGGGCGGCTTGCAACATCCGGACTGGAAAAAAAAAACTGAGGTGATGTATAATTTTACGAATAAAATGATTACTTTTAAATTATTGTAACAACAACGATGTCAATTGAGATACGATCGAATGTCTGTTGCTAAATTACATCAAATTATTTAATCATGAAATAATAAATGAACAATTAAATAATCTTACTTGTATCATTGAAAACTTGTGCTTCACGAAACCTAAGAGATGTTTGTCGCTATGGAGGGTTTTGCAAATATGGGAATCGCTCAAGCAACTCCGAGCCTCTTCCCAATGCCCGTTATCCACAAAGTTATTTTTCAACCAATTCGAATAATCTTTGACTCGAAGCGATCCGACTCCGATCCCGATGACCTTCTTAGACAACGCCTTGTTCGAGATGATCAAGGCGAAGAAGGTCACACAAAACAAAGCCAATATGATAAAGATCAATAGAATCGAGTAAATCGTCAAGAAAATGCTGGTGTTTTCAAAGCAAGAGCTGAGGAAGGCGAACACCGATACAATGATGAAAATGAGGCCGATTATCAACAAAGGGTTTCGAACGGAGCTCTGGCAGGCAGTGCCACCGCTGTGGCTGAAGTAGATGGAGACCGCAATGGCGGATAGGCCTAGAACGAGGGGAATAACGTTTATACAATTGAAAATGGCGTTACGAACGCGAACCATTATTCCCCTTGTTGAAGATTATTTCTCGTTTTTGCCATTCTTGGAACTATTCTTTGCTTCATTTGTGAAGATTTTAAGGAGTAAAATAATTGCAGGTAAGTAGTTTCCGTTCTTCTTGTTGTTACTAAATAAGACATTCTTTTTAACTAACATAAACAAAATACGAATATATCTCGTGTTAATACATTTTTTTTAATAACCACCGGTGTTTGATTTATTAATCGATTAATCAAGATCGAATATTGCAGAGGTGAGAGTGACCCTCCTAACTCAGTTTGCTCCATCTGTAAACACTGGGATTCAAACCTCTAACCTTACTTAAGAGATCTAATACTTTATTCTACTAGAAAAATATAAAATTACATGGACAAACATATTAGAAACCTGAATTTGAAAAATAAAAATAAATATGTATGTAATTCAAGTTGGTTAATGATTTTATCTCTACAAAATCTTATTCGAAGAAAAATTTACTATTAATATTCTTCCGTACAATAGATATGAATAATAATCTAACTACACACGCTAGTGTAGACGCTCTTCATACAATATTATTCAAAAAATTTCCCCTTACATAATCTCTATTGGTTGTCTAACACTTGCTATAATTTATAAACACAGCCTTCAAAACTCTAAGTAGCATAACTAAAATGTTTCTCAATTAAACTAATATTAAAGAAACAATAAAATTTTCTCTTAAATAATTGTCGTCATTGTTTTTCGCCCGGGTGGGAGAAAACTACCAATACGACTTAGGGGGTTTTCTTTGAAAATGTTTTGAAATATTAGGAGTCGCCACCAATCATTTTAAGGTGCGATCGGGACATTATAAAAATCATATAATTTTAATAAAACATTCCATTTTATCAAAACACCAAGTTTAGGGTCTATGAAAACCAAAAAAGGGATTCGAGAGTCAGTTATGCATGGGAAGGATTAACACCCCCACAACGCCAAAAAATCGGTACCTAGTTGATTACCCTATATTTAATTATGAGTTCGAACTTTATTTAATCGAAAATTCACTATGGATGTACAGTTGAAAAGGATGTTCGTTTATTTAAGCCAATAGTGTTTGCCCCTTATCATGAATGCGAGAGATCAACTATTATGCCTAATAACTAGATGTTGCCTTGATTTTAAGAAATCATGATGTCGTCTTGAAAAGGATGTTGACCTATTTCGGGAATCAACAGTAGTCACCCCCTGAGCATACTTGCGGGAGATATACTATTGACTCCCTAATAAGTGAACATTGCCTTAGGTTTTAAAAATGTGCGCAACCAATCAATCGAATAAAACCTAATTTCACTAGGTGAATTCATTAAGGTTTCTCCTGACCTAAAGTGTTAAATTATGAAATTAAGGAACCTAGAGGACTAAACTTGAAAATGAGTCTCTAATATTAACCCTAGCTGATTTTATCAACCAATTATTGGATCGGATAATTGATTTGAGCAATCAGACATTTGTTTCCGAAAACTCAAACCAAATTATTCTCTAATTAAAGGACTAAACTTGAAAATGAGTCTCTAAAATTAAACCTGAGGTGTAGGCTCTAATTGTTAACCAAATTAATTATGTTAATTTAAAATTCTAATTAAAAATTTAAGAACTAAAATGCAAGGAAATTAAAATCCAAAGACTTAAATGTAAGAATCTAAGGTTTAGGAACCTAAGTGTAAATAAACTAAAGTTAAAGGACTAAATCTATAACACCTAAAGTTTAAGGACTAACCAATAAATCAAGGCTCTAATAATTGTTCTAATTAACTATTAAAAATTAAGGGATTAAACTAAGTAGGCTTTAAAAATAATTAATTGTTAACAATTTGGAGATTCGAACAATCGACTCGAGTAATCGGACATTTTATGCGAAAACTTAAATCGAATTACTCCCTAATTAAAACTAAGGTGAAACCCTAATTAATAAATCAAATTTTGTATTAGAAGATCCTAATCTAAGGATAATTTCTAAAAAAACTAATTAAATTTTAAAAAACTAGAAATAATAATTAATCATACCAATTTAAATGAAAGTAAAAAAAAAACAATGGGACAAATTAAATATAAACAAGAAATAAAATGAACAAACTAATTAAATTAAATGGCTAAAAACACTTTAGTCTTGCAAATTCAAATAAAAAACAAATTAAAATTAAGAAATAAACAAACAAAAATATTTAAATTAAAATCTAAGAAATTAAATATAAGAAATTAAATATGCAGGGGATTAAATCAAATTAGCATTAAATTATAGAGGATTAAAATGAAATTAAACATGTGATTAAAATAAAGGGATCAAATTAAAATAAAATAAAAATTGAACGTGTTAATTGACAAATAAACTCTGGACTTAAGTGCAAAAACATGCTAAAATAAGAGGTACTAAAGCATGATTGTCCCTTTTTTATAATCCTAAAATGCCCTATCAAATGAAAATCCGAAAATTACAAGATCAGACCAACACGATTAAAATAAAATCAAAACAATCATTGCAGGTGATCAGAATGCAAAAACGTGACAACTTTAAGGGATCTAAGTGCAAATAACCCCTAAACTTATATTATAAAACACATCTTTTTTTTATGATTCATTTCTAACCTTAGCCCTAAAAAAATCTTCAAACTCTCTCAACTCTCCTTCACTCTCTATCGACTGACACCCCTAAACATGGCATTCATCACCGTCGGCCACCCTCAACGATGGTCGAATAACCACCAATCGAACCCAAAACATTATAAACACCCTGATCTATTCATCTAAACCAAAACTAAAGCCTTTAACCACCAAGAACAACCCCTAAACGCTCACAAAAAACCTCGACCCCTCGACTTCCCTACTTCGACCACCACAAAGGCGAACTGACCCTCAGTTTCGACTACCCCTCTCCGATAAACTCTTCGACTTCCCTCCCTTTTTTCTTTTATTTTTATATTCGAAAGTTTGTTAAAAAAAGAAAAGAAAATGTTTTTTACCTTGAAATTTTCTTCTTTTTTATTGTATTCATCCGAAAAATGAAGGAAGATCCCCTTTTTATATACTAATTTTTGTGTTTTATACCCAAGATTATAGAGATTTTTACAATAAAAAAACCTAATCCTACTTGTTTTCTGACATTCACTGTGCATGATGGATTGTGTTTTTAATGCCCCAGTTTTTTTGGGTTTTGTTGAGATCTCTGATGAGATTTGGTTCGGCTAGGCTTGACGACGATGATGATCGGTGCAGTTGGATGTAAGACGAACTCGGTCGGCGATTGAAATCTCTTGGCGGCGGCTGCAGTTGTCTCAAGGAGATAATACATTAGGGTTTGAAAAGCCCTAATGAGCTCTATTCTGGACCGTTTGATGAAGTTGGATCTAACGACTGTGGCTCTTGGCGATTGAGAAGAAAAACACGAAACCCTAGTTTCAATGGGCCTCCTCTTGTGGGCTTTAGGCGCTGGATATTTTGTATTTTGAGTTTAGTTTTGCATGTAAATAAATATTTAATAATAATAATATTTTATTTATAATAATAATAATATATTGGTTGAAAAATGGTAACTGCAATAATATAATTAAAAACTCTAGTTGAAGCTAGACACTAGTAATCTTTAAATAAGAATCACACATTTTTAGTCAATTTTGGGACGAATGTGTTCTTTAATTAGGTCTCTTTAATTGTTGTAATTTTTTTTATAAATTGATCGATTAAATATTCAATTTTTAGATACAAAATTTCGGTAAAATTAATTAGATAATGTTTTGAGAAAAATGATTTTCTTATATAAAATGTTAGAGTAGTTATTTTCTTAGCTAAAGTGAATGATATAATGCAATTCTATAAACATGTATGGAGTTTGAAGAAGACACCATGTCTTATGAGTTTCTTCTAGAAGTCGTTTATCTTTTGAACGTTTACCATAGAATACTGTAACATTCACCCCATATAAAAAATAATCATCTTAACACTTTATACGAGAACAATCATTTTTCCTATGATTAAATTTATTGAAAACTTTTCATAAATTGCTTACTTAACGAACAAGTAATATAACATCTCAAAAATTTCGATGTCAAACTTCAATTGGTAGAGACATTAAATAATATTATATTGATAAGAAAGTCTATTATTACACGCCTAAATTAAGGGTAAAATATATAAAAATCTCAAATTAAACGACGTTATTTTGTTAAGTTCACATATTATTAAAAGTTATAAAATAATTTTTTAATTATAAGATAATGTTTTATTAAGACTATAACCATTAAAAGTTACAAAATGATCATCTTATTATTTATATGTTTTAATCTCGTCTTTTATCATTAAAAAATTGATAGATGTCTAAGTTGAATGTTAACATGTTGATTGAGATATGATAAAATCATATTTTAATGATTATTTATTGGCATTATCACTACTTTCAAGCACTGGCTCGACGAAATAATATTTTAATTACTGGCTCGAAGACATAACATAGGCGGAGAGTTGATCCACAAAATACAACTTAAACGATTTTGGAATCAAATTTTATCATATTATAATTAATAGATTAACTTCCAACTTAAACAATTGCTATCTTTTAACAAAAAAAAAATTAAAACATATGAATAATTAAATTAATATTTTATAACTTTTAATTGTAAGATATCTAACGAAGGAAATGTTCTTTTAACCCTGCATTCACTCCTTCGTCCAGCAAGAAAACGAGTTCGCTCTCGTTCCGAGGCACTTCAGCTTCAGGTGCTTATTTATATTGCACTTTCTTATCACTTATAGCACTACCAGTTATCATGCTTAAGTTTGAATGTAATATTTTAAGTAGGATTATAAACGAGTCGAGTCGAGTCGAGTCAAGTTTGATTATTGTTAAGTTCGATTTGATTTAAAAAATTTAAAATGAAGCTCGACTCATCTCAAAAGTTAATGAGTCTAAAATTTTCAAGTTCGACTTGAACTCAAAATCATGAAATGAAGCTTGAAAAAGCTTGAAATAAGAAAAAAAAATCTTAGATTTAACTATGTTGAAGTTCAGACTCAAACTCAAACATGAATCTTAAGTTAATTAAAATTTGATATTGCATTTAAAAAGAAATCAACATATAAATGTTAATATTATTAATATTTTTTTTTAAAATAAAATTTTAATATATTACTTTTTCTGAGTTACTCGCGAGCTTTTCGAGTGGAGTATCAAGTAACTCGTTTCGGCTGGTTAAGAACTTGAGTCAAGTTCGAGCTCGATTCGAGTCTATTCAAGTCGAGTATTAATCGAACTTTGATTGAATCGAGTTCGAATAACTGACGATTTGTCTGGTCTCATATATAATCCTAATTTTAAGGTAATGTAACTCTGACTTCGCTCCCTTAAAGTACATGTATCCGACACTGGTGTGAAAACGTAGATGTGAGGATAATACCTGCGTTGGATGCATACCTTTATCCAGAACTCTCACTCGAATCGAGTAGCATAGTTTTATGGTACATTTTTCTATCAACTCATCTACCATGCTCATTTTGGATTTTGGTTTCATTTGTAGGAATGTGACAATATTGTTGAGAGAAGTGATAATTGGTCGTTGGGATGCACCTTATTAATCGTCATTTGTTGTAGGTATGGGGTATCTCCATTTGAATACGCACTCGGAGAAGCCGGAGGAAGGCTGCAATTGGCCATTATAAATGCTCAGGCTAAGTGGCCGGGTGGACCAAAACCACCGCTCTTCATCAGTTTGTGACATGGATGTTTCAGCCTCAAGCTGCAGTTCGCCCTCGGATAGACGATATCCTAGTTCAACGTTTTCAAGAGTGAAGGGAAAGGCATTCAACCGTTGATGTATACATGAATAAAACTCTTACATCAATAAACTCTTGGCATTAATTAGTTATAAGTTTCTCAAAAAGAACGGATTCTTATTGTAATTTAATATACTATTGTCATATTTTATTTATTATATGTAATATTACTTTTAAATATTAAAGCTTACGAATGGAAAAGAATGTACGAGATGTGTGATGTCCATCTTTTAAATATATATATTTTTAATATCGTATAATTACTCGGATAATAATTTAAACTTCTTTACTCTTAGAATATTTTATATTTATACATTCTATAATTTCTTAAGGTGTTAACTATTTTATATTTATATAGAGATATGATCGTGTTAAACAATGTAAAACTAAACAAACTTAGGATTGTTGGATGAGTGAAACAAATGTCTAAGATTAATAATAAAAAATAAGAAGATATTCACTGCAAAAAAAAACAACAACAACAAAGATTCACCATCAAGAGTTAGTTCAACTAGTAAGCAACTTGATATCACTTAAGTAAGGTCTCAAGTTTGAGTCTTTGTGTATGCATAAAATCTCTGCTGAGAGACTCACCCACCAGAGCCAGGTGTGCCACCCAATCGGTCCGAATTAGTTAAGGTGAAGCCTTGGAACTGGGAGGGCAACAAAAAAAAAGTCAATCTCAGTCATCTATTTTCACTCATCAAATGGTCTTAAATTTGTGTAAAACTAAATCGTTTTACATTGTGTAAGTAGATCTTAACTCATATATATATTTAAATTATATTTACATTAAATAATAAAAACAAATATATATACAATATACATACACCACACATATTAAGAAAAATTAATAAATTGTATAAATTTAAACGGATAACAATAATTTTGATTATAAAAAATAAATAATGTTAAAGATCAATTACTTATTTCACAATTAAAATATAAACTACAAACACACTATGAAAATATATAAATAAATTGATAAAAAAAATTGACCATAGTATATAGATCACATTTAGCTTGAAATGTTCGTTCGATCATCGAGATGCACAACATTCAATCATTGCATATTCATAATCAAACTTTAACGTTAAATATATTTTGTCTTTTGAATGATATATTTTAATTTAAATCTTAGAGCCCTAGAAAAGAAATAATATTATCAAACTATCTTTCGTTACATTACAGTTGATTTATTGGACATTTTCTAAACTGAAAATAAATTATTCTTTTTGAATAAATTTATTTGAATATATTTTATTTTATTTAAGAAAATTTTATTTCAAAATAAAAAAAACAAATGATTTAATTTTAGGGTCCACAATTTATTTTGAACTAAATCAATTGAATAAAAGTTTAACATTTAACATACAATGATATATTTGTATGGTATTGAAATCTCCTTTTTACTTTGTAAATTTAATATATATATATATTTTTAACCTATATATTTGAAATGATTACACATATTTTAACTCTTGATTTAATTTTTAGTATTAAGTTATTATTTTATTAAAAAATATAAAATCCAAAAATTCTTACATTAAATTTCATTTTAAATTTATTTTATTTTGAATAATATATGTAAAGAATGAATTTACAAGTTAACTTATATGTTTTTTTTAGGATTTGTACCACACTTGTTTGAAAAATATTATTATTATATATTAAAAAATGTCTTTAGAAATTAATTGCTAAAAGATTGATTCAAACACTCAATTATCTATTAATTTGATATCCATATTTATTTTTTGTTTAGATTTTTTATTTTAAAAAATGCATTCATAATTATTTTATTTTTAAATAATATAATAAGTTTGCATAAAAAATAATATAATAAATTGATGCACATTTTAAATTATAAAATTAATTAAAAATCAATATATAATAGAATAAAATGATGATGATGATAATAAACATACAAGTTTTGATGTGAGAAAATAAGTAGTTAGTAGTTCTAATTATATAACAATTTTAACTACAACACAGTGTTGACATCTATCTATACCTCATATTGACACTTGTTACCTTTTTTATTTGATTATTTTTTCCTGATATACTCTTTTAATTTAGGATTGGCTTTCCATTAATCGATTTTGAACATGAAAGGCACTTTTTAATTTGTAGTGGGAAAAAAAGTCTAGTACACCATAAAATAAGGTTGCAGAGTCTTAGAGAAGCTGCATTATCGTAATTGCATTGCTAATGCATCAAGCATTTAATATCTACACTAATGATCATTTGTTTGATAGAGTTTAGTGTAGAGATGACTATGGAACGGGACAAGTAGATATTACTAAATCTATCATCGTTTCATAATTAACACGTTTTGTTTCATCATCCGTTCCTACGCGCTAACTCATTTCGAATGTTGCTAGTAAAGAGAGATGTACAAGAGAAGAACTCGAGCGAGTCACGATGCGAGCTGAGACTATGGATGACAATGGTGTAACATAGAGGTGGAGTTCAATACACTTTCTCAGCCTAAGATGAACAAAGAAAAAGATGGAACATACCTCTGTCAAGGTTCGCATATCCAAGGAAAAAACGAAAGAAGAATGGGAACGACACTGCATTAATCTTCATCTATCGAGGAAAAATACACATTGATTGAAAGAAAATTATTTTTTTACAAGGTGTTGAAAGTTATGATTTACGAAGTACCTTGTGAAACAAGCATATATGGTGCTCCGAAACCTTGCTTGTTCAATCCTCGTGTTCATCCTCTCCTTCAGAATCTGTGTACAGAGACATCCAGACTCAGCATTAGAAGATAAATGTAATAAATGTCCTTTGCCCTAATGCCTTTTGTTAGGAATGTTGGAGCAAAGTAGGGAAAATATGGAGAAAAATAGAGGAAAAGAAGTAGAAGTAGAGAGAATTCCGACTTTGATTGATGCGTTTGTATATCTATTTAATGAGTACAAGAGTTCTTTATATAGGAGTGAGGGTAGGGATGGGCATGAGACCCGTATCCGACGGGTTCCGACCCGACCTAACCCAATCCGATCGAGTCGGATTTTTTTTAAAAAAAAATCGGGTTTGAATCGGGTCGAGTTTTAAATAAAATATTCAGGTTTGGGTCAGAGTCAGGTTTAGGGTTAAAAATACCCGACCCGACCCAACTCGGGTACTTAATGCAATATTTTATTTATTTATTTATAATTTTTTACTTTCCCTTTGTAATCATATCTCCTCAATCCAAGATTGTATGTGGAGAACAGTCTGAAACTCTTACCCTAATTCATTTTCTCACAATTCTTACCCATCTCCTGCTCAAAATTAAATCTTACAATTTTCGATTCATTCTCAATCAGGGTTTCAAGTTGCGGTCGCGTTTTCAGTCATTTCGAGTTTACCGTGATTGTGGTAGTCGCAGGTGCTATTGCAGGTGTAGCGGGTAACTCGGACGGCGACGGAACCGCTATATCGCGAACGAAATCGTGGTCGCGAAATGTTTTTTGAAACCATGTTCTCAACCATAAAAAAAACCTCAATCTTTTTCACACTTTCATCGATTCTTCTTCTGGAGTCGATACCCAGTAATCTACAACAAGCCAACCAAAGCTTAAAAGTAGAACTTCAATTTTTAGTAAGGTAAGTACTTCTTTTCATGATTTTTGGCTTTGTTGATTTTGTATATGTGAAAATATGTTATTTATCGAACGTATAAACTTCTTCTATAGAGTTCGGAGAACAATTTTTCATCTTATTTTCGTGCTTTTCTTTTGATTTAATATTATAATACTTGTTTAGTTTACTAATTAAAGTTTAAAAGCATGAAGCCATCGATTAGTATATTGTAACTTTTGTTTTTAAACTAACTAATTAGTTCTACCAAACTAAACAAAGAGTAAAGTTTAATCGGGTCAAGTCAGGTTTTTAAGTTATATATCGGGTAGGGTGAAATCTTGTTTCATGCGGGTCGGGTCAGATTTCGTGTGGATGAGTCATTTTTCTCGGATAGGATCGAGTGGACCAAAAATTCAACCCAACCTGACCCATGCCCATCCCTAGGTGAGGGATACCTTATAATAATTGTGATACAATGAATAGTCACAACCTTTTGGCATTTCAACTACTCCTATCAAATCTAAACACTTTATCTTCTCTTAATTAAACTTGACATAATCATGAACATAATTTATTGAGTAAGCTAAAATGTCTCATTTACTAACACTCCTCCTTGACACTTTTGGCCATCATACAAAGTTTGAGTCTTAGTAACTCAAATCTTCCTTTTGATAAAGCCTTAGTAAGAATGTCAGCTAGTTGATACTCTGATACTCTGAAGGACAATGGACCAACTTCACTTCTTTATGTTGTTGAGATTCTTGAAGTGCATAGAACTTAATCTTCATAATCTTTGTTTTGTTGGAACAAACTGGATTCTCCGAAATGTCTATTGTTGATTTGTTGTCAACCAGAACTTCAGTAGGTTCCTCTTTCTTATGTCTTAAGTCTGTCAATATTTCCTTGAGCCACACAGCTTGCTTCACTGTTGCACATGCTACAATGTACTCAGCTTCAGCCGTGGATTGAGCCACAATTTCTTGCTTCTTTGAAATCTATGAAAACACTCCAGACCCAAGTGAAAGAGCATAGCCAAGAGTACTTTTTATGTCATCCACTGATCCACCCCAATCACTATCTGAATATGCAATCAATTTCGAGTCTGCACATGGATAAAACATAACTCCAAAATCTGAGGTTCCTCTTAGATACCTGAGCACTCTTCTTGTAGTACCCATATGAATATCACTTGATTCAGTCATGAACCTTGAAAGCAAACTTGCTGCAAACACCAAATCAGGTCTGGTTGTTGTGAGGTAAAGTAGACTTCCAACTAAGCTTCTGTATTCCTTAGTGTCAACTTTCCACTGACCATCAAACTTGGACAACTTCTCATTCACTACAAGAGGTGTACTAACCAGCTTGCAGTTTTGCATCTTGAACTTCTTAAGAACATCATTGTCATACTTCCTTTGAGAGATAAAAATTTCATATTCTTATTGACGAACTTCCATCCCTAAAAAATAATTCATTAAACCCAAGTTAGTCATTTCGAACTTTTTCTTCATCTCTTCCTTGAACGAGAGGATCATTTTTGAATTGTTTTATGCGAGAGGATCATTTTTGAATTGTTTTATGTGACAACAAGATCATCAACATAAAGTGAAACGATGAGCAAATCATTTTTGCCTTGATTTTTCACATAAAGAATGTGCTGATTTTTGCTTCTCTCAAACCCCTTTTCAATGAGATGAGAGTTAATTTCCTATAACACGCTCGTGGTGCTTGTTTTAGGCCGTAAAGAGCCTTTTTTAGCTTGCACACTTTTTTTTCTTTTCATTCGACAACAAATCTGAGAGGTTGCTCAATGAAAATTTCCTCCTCGAGTTCACCGTTAAGGAAGATATACTTAACATCAAGTTGATAAATCTTCCATTGTTCTTGTGCTGCTAAAGCAATCAAAGTTTTCACTGTGTCAAGTCTTGCAACAGGAGCAAATGTATCTCCATAGTCAATTCCTGCCTGCTGGGAGCATCCTTTGACGACTAGTCTAGCCTTGTATTTTCTTATAGAGCCATCAAGATTTAATTTGATCTTGTAGACCCATTTCACGTTTATCATTTTACGATCGTTTAGTCTATCAACCAACTCCTAAGTTTGATTTTTCGTTATCATGCTCATTTCATTTTTCATCGCTTGCTGCCACCTTTTGTCTTCAGAAACCTGCTCATATGTTTGGGGCTCTTCAACTCCAAGATAGCATTTTTCACATTCCTACAGATTTAACTGAAAGATAAGGCATTCTTTATACAAGTCCGAGCGTATTTTTTACCTCGAGGACCTATAGCATTCTTACTATCATTGGACTCACCACTATCATCGTTAGGTTGTATAGGAGAGGAAGGTGGCGTGTGATTGTCATTGTTAGCTTCTTCATAATTCTCATTGCTAGGTTCATCACTCACTGTATCGTTAGGATTAAAAACCAACATACTTTTTTCAACATTCTCTTCATCCCAATTCCAGCTTGCATCTTCATTAAACTTCACATCTCTACTGATCATGATCTTCTCGGTGTCAAGATAAAAAATTCGGTAACCTTTGGCTTGAGAATCATAGCTAAGGAAGATTCATCTTTCAGTTTTTGCATCTAGTTTGCTTCTCTTTTGAGTTGGAATATGAGCATAGCAAATTGAGCATTAATGTCAACTTTCCACTGACCATCAAACTTGGACAACTTCTCATTCACTACAAGAGGTGTACTAACCAGCTTGCAGTTTTGCATCTTGAACTTCTTAAGAACATCATTGTCATACTTCCTTTGAGAGATAAAAATTTCATATTCTTATTGACGAACTTCCATCCCTAAAAAATAATTCATTAAACCCAAGTTAGTCATTTCAAACTTTTTCTTCATCTCTTCCTTGAACGAGAGGATCATTTTTGAATTGTTTTATGCGAGAGGATCATTTTTGAATTGTTTTATGTGACAACAAGATCATCAACATAAAGTGAAACGATGAGCAAATCATTTTTGCCTTGATTTTTCACATAAAGAATGTGCTGATTTTTGCTTCTCTCAAACCCCTTTTCAATGAGATGAAAGTTAATTTCCTATAACACGCTCGTGGTGCTTGTTTTAGACCGTAAAGAGCCTTTTTTAGCTTGCACACTTTTTTTTCTTTTCATTCGACAACAAATCTGAGAGGTTGCTCAATGAAATTTCCTCCTCGAGTTCACCGTTAAGGAAGATATACTTAACATCAAGTTGATAAATCTTCCATTGTTCTTGTGCTGCTAAAGCAATCAAAGTTTTCACTGTGTCAAGTCTTGCAACAGGAGCAAATGTATCTCCATAGTCAATTCCTGCCTGCTGGGAGCATCCTTTGACGACTAGTCTAGCCTTGTATTTTCTTATAGAGCCATCAAGATTTAATTTGATCTTGTAGACCCATTTCACGTTTATCATTTTACGATCGTTTAGTCTATCAACCAACTCCTAAGTTTGATTTTTCGTTATCATGCTCATTTCATTTTTCATCGCTTGCTGCCACCTTTTGTCTTCAGAAACCTGCTCATATGTTTGGGGCTCTTCAACCTCAAGATAGCATTTTTCACATTCCTACAGATTTAACTGAAAGATAGGGCATTCTTTATACAAGTCCGAGAGTATTTTTTACCTCGAGGACCTATAGCATTCTTACTATCATTGGACTCACCACTATCATCGTTAGGTTGTATAGGAGAGGAAGGTGGCGTGTGATTGTCATTGTTAGCTTCTTCATAATTCTCATTGCTAGGTTCATCACTCATTGTATCGTTAGGATTAAAAACCAACATACTTTTTTCAACCTTCTCTTCATCCCAATTCCAGCTTGCATCTTCATTAAACTTCACATCTCTACTGATCATGATCTTCTCGGTGTCAAGATAAAAAATTCGGTAACCTTTGGCTTGAGAATCATAGCTAAGGAAGATTCATCTTTCAGTTTTTGCATCTAGTTTGCT